TTTCTTTCTTTTTTTTCTTTTTTTTTTTTTTTTCTCTCTACTAATTGGCTGTCAGGTTTGTTAATGTTCATTCTCCACGTAATTGTCACGTACCAATATGAGGGGCTTCGGTCACACACGTTCATTTTTCGTCACGCGGGTTTCGTTGCGGCCCATTTCCCATTTCTGTACATAATCATCCTCACGTTTCTCACGCGTCGCATGTGCAACATCTTTGGATCGGGGTGGGAGGGGGAGGGGGAATCACGTTGTTTCCGTGTCAAAAGAGCCGAGGGACAAAGCTCTGCGTGTACGTACCGTTGCGCAGGAATTTTTGTAAAAATCCGCGGCTTTGTCACGTAATTCGTAACTCGCGTAATTCGTAATTCCCACATTCGATAGTCTGGAATTTACGACTCGAGCGATTCGCATCTGTAGAAGTTGACGACAATTTTATGGATCTGCCGTTTTACGATCACGAGTCGCGCAAGTGTACGTAGTACTCTTGAGGGGAAACGCATGAGGGGAACAACACACCACGGGGAGAGTTGTTTTGCGATAAACGACGTGACGCGAAACGAAGAAAGCTTCGTTTTTCCGCTTTTAATCGCCGAGTCGAAAATGGAGGAGATCGATCGGTGCCAAGTCATATTGCATGTGCTCGAAAATATACCATACTCCGATATATATATATATATATATCTATATACATACATACCTGATTCTTTGCCACTGATCTTGCCTACCACCAGTTTGAATGAAGCTACTAATCATTTTTTAACGAGCACACGCGCGAGCAAGAAGCACATCTCAATGCAAACGTGAAACAGCCCTACAAATACAGACGTAGTGGTATTACAGTTAGGAAGTTTCTCGGAGTCATCTCGTAATTTCGTAAGGCACGCACCAAGAGCATAATCAATTTCGCTGTTATGCGTCATGCACTATATTCATCGAAATTAACACACACAATCTTTAACCAAGACGAAGACTCGTGGGATCGTGATTGCTAAATATATATGAATTACGAAATTTCTATGAATTACGAATAGTAATACGAATTTCTTTTTTTTTTTTTTTGTATGAATTAGCGTAACTATACAAAACTTTTGTTTGCAATTCTTAGATCGTGGTGAGAGGTTATAATTTCTCTTAAACAAAGAACGTTCCGATTATTCAGGATAAATACTGTGCAATTCGAAGAGTATTGTATACTAATATTGTATACAATATTATATCAGTATTTTGTATTGTATACTAGTATCGTGTACTAATATGCAATACTAGTGTACTAGTATTTTATATTGTTTTATATATATTATAACTATTCTGTACTAGTATCTTGTATTGTATACTAATATTGTATACAATATAATATTAGTATTTTGTATTGCATATTAGTATCATGTACTAATATGCAATACAAAATGTACAAAATAATTGTATACATAATAATACTGTATACTAGTATTTTATATTGTTTTATACATAACTATTCTGTACTAGCATTTTCTATTGTATAATAATGTTGTATACAATATTATATTAGTGTTTGCCATTGTATATTAGTATCGTGTACTAATATACAATGCTAG